CACTCTAACCCCACTGCACTGCCACTCATTTTTTTTTTCCATCCACATGCAGAATAAGTTTTGTTGTTTGCATTGAGGCACATGCAGATGTGCACACTAATAGAAACACATGATGCGGGCTGCGGGTACTCTGCTAATCAGGTGGGAGGCACCTGACTTAGCTCTCATGGGTGGCTGCCGAAGCTCTCAGCTAATAGGGACACTCTAACCCCACTGCACTGCCACTCATTTTTTTTTTCCATCCACATGCAGAATAAGTTTTGTTGTTTGCATTGAGGCACATGCAGATGTGCACACTAATAGAAACACATGATGCGGGCTGCGGGTACTCTGCTAATCAGGTGGGAGGCACCTGACTTAGCTCTCATGGGTGGCTGCCGAAGCTCTCAGCTAATAGGGAATACTTTCCAAAGGAGATGTTTCCACATGGTGCCTTTCCCCAAGCACTCCTGCAGCCACTAGGAGCTGTAGGGGCAGTGCCTGCAGAAAGAAGCACATGGAGACTTCCCCACCTAGAGCTGTACCCCAACTCCCTTCCCTGAATCCCACCCTCTTCCAGAGCCGGTACCCCTTCCAACTCCGCCAAACTCCCACCCAGAGCCTGCACCCTCTCCTACTCTCCTGCCTCAGCCAAGAGCCTGCCCTCAGCAGCCAAACTCCTTCCCAGACCTTTAGGCAAGGGGAGGGGGAAGGAGCTTGGATGGGAGAGAAGTGCAGGCCCTGGGCATTCTGGGCACCACCAAAATTTCTCCAAACCTGCTGCCCCTGCCTGCTGGAAGAGGTTGCTTTCTGCTTGTGCACAACTAGGGTATTTCAGTTTTCAAGGATCCTGATGTCTCAAAGCACAGAAGACCAGATTGTGGTTGGGCCTTGTACAAAACGGAAGGTGTCTTCCTCTCCCTAGACTCCAGAGAAGAGGCCAGTAATTGTCACAGTGCTCTCCTGAGTGCAGTGATTTGCATGGCAAAAGCACTAGTTGCCACAGAAGGGGCAAGGAAGGGCAACCGCCATACCCCTTCAGCCTTGATCAGTAGAGCTGGCCAACTACAAAATAGAAAAAACTTAAACAACATCATATAGTCTAGTAGCACCTTAAAGACTAACAAAACATGTAGATTGGATCATGAGCTTTCGTGGGCACAATCCACTTCTTCAGATGACTATGGGTCAAGTTTTTCCCGTTACAGACTAACTTGGCTACCCCTCTGAAGCCTTTTTATAAAAAAGAAGGGCATGCTGCATAAAGGTGTCTCGTTCTAATTGGGCAGCATCGCTCTGCATCCTTCCTTGCTTCATTCCTAAGAGCACCACTTAAATAGCGCAGCCTAGCTTGCGAGTTAAGGATTCGTGCAAATTGAAATATTCTGTCAATTTGCACAAATGGAATGGATAGGCGGAGCTGAGGGAAGTGATGTGGGAGCCTGCATACGAGTGATCTGAATAAAAGCCTGTTTTAAAGAGACACTCAAAGTGTCTCTGTAAAATACTTTTATTTTAAATATATCAAAAAAAGTTGTATTCAGCTACCAGCTTTGGGGAATGATGCTATGTGACGTGAGAAGCAACACTCAAGGCCAGAAGGTCAGAAATGGGCCTTGCATTTTTTAATTTGTTCTGTCTGCTGAAAATAAAAATAGGTCAGACTAAATTACAGGAACCTTTCTTGCTTGCCTCTTTTTCTCTTTTGTGCCTCCTACTTTGTGGCTGTGCAAGTGTTCACATCCTGGAGTAATATTAAATGTTGCCAGCAGCATTCCTGATACAAAAGGAGAAACCTGGATATATTTACCTAGGATTATCAGAAATGTTATTTCAACTGCTAGAGTAAGCAGCCATCAGAAACACAGTCATCAGAAACTTTGCAGCTATCTAATCACCCACATATCACACACCAAAAAAACACATTAGAGCTTTCCAACCCTCAAATATTAGTATAGTACCTAGTAGACATTTTCTTCCTTACCTAAGATTCAAATTCAATGTTAGTCTTCCGAGTTCTCCAACAAGCAGTACAGCTGGAATTTCCACTGATGTAAATCAAATAAGAGACAAACCTAGCATTATTTACAGATTTTATCCAACTCCAGCTAACCAAACTTCCCAGTTAATAATGAATATCCATATTTTTTTCTAAGCAACTTAAATATTAACACTCACAAAACTTCCATAAGGGACGGGAGCAAATATTTGTATCTCCTTTATACAGTTGGGGATGGTGATGTAGAGCATTTAAATGACTTGTCCAACCAATGCCGCATGGAGTCTGTCAGATGTCTACAGAAAGTACACCAGACTTATTTAGTATCATAAAAATGGATCATTGCTTGTTGCCATTTGTCTCTGAGCTTTTATTATCTGAGGTAAAATACAAAACAATTTTAGCCTAAGAAATCACTCAGCTCCCCAATAATAGCCTTGTTTTTCACTCCAGGTTATTGCTCAGAGAATATCTATAGAAAAATTAATTCTCAGCTAGGGTTGTGTTAATCCAAATTCTAGAAAATGAGAACAGTTTTAATCACTTGGCATTTACTATTTAATTCTGTTTTTTTCTGATTCTTACAGGACAAAACTTTGTTCCATCCGGTAAGCAACAGCTGCATAGATTGCAACCCAGCTGAGAAGAAGATTTTCATGAACAGATGTGATCCTTTATCTGAAACTCAGCAGTGGATTTTTGAACATATTAATATGACTGTTTTAGAAAAATTTAACAGCAAGAACAGTTCCTAGGAGAAAAAGAGATTACATACAGATTGCAACTGCATTTTGGCCAGCATCTGGGTCGAAGGAGTCAGGAATTAAATTTCCTAGATCCAGGAAGTCTTTTCTGAGGATTAAGCAAATGCCACGGCAAAGGCCAATGGGCAGTCATTGTGGATGTACAGTATCTGAAGAACTTGGCTGAGAGTCTCACCAGATGCTGAGAACTTTAGGCTGACAATTCCCTTGCTGGCCAAGGGGAAAGTTTATTTAAAAAACTTTTCAAAACATTGAGTTAATAAATTGAAACAAAATTCTAGAGTTTCTCAGGTCAAATCCTGCTGTAGTGAGTAGTTATGAATGGATGCTATTAGGCGGGGTGGGTTTATGGTGTGCATGACTGCTCTGGAAACCTGCAGAAATCACAGGTTATGAACTAACCACACTGGTGGAATGTAAACAGTCTCCCAGCACTCTGGACAAACTATATGATCTGGTGCCATTCTCTTAATAAAGGTTGGGTTAAGCAAGATTAACCCTCAGATTGCTGATGATGATTTTAAACACTTCCCCATTACATTCCCTTCATTACCAAAATAGGAATGACAGAAATATAAGAGTTTTGAATTATGTTGCAATGAAGCATGAAATAGATCTCTAAGATTTCAAAAGTCCCATTTTTCCTCAGCATTTGAAAAAGTGCATCAAAGCAATTAAATCAGATTTCCATATATGATACAATTTACCTAATACTTATCAACTGAGATTCAAATCTAGCCTCCATTTAAATTAAAGGCCCAAAGAACAAGGCTACCAAATCTTTAAGTCAGTCCATAGCAGGTATAACACCAATAATAGCAGCACAATGCAAGGTTTGCAGAAAGGATTTCCCTTGAAAATCTATATTTACTTTTCTGGTGTTTTTATTAGAACTAAAATTGCTTTAAATCAAAATATTCAGAGACATAAGAGGCATTAAGAGTGACAGATTATATGTTTACTGGAAGTGAGGAGAGACTATAGCCAAACAAATATTGGTACTCTGGCATCAGCTAAAAAGTGTTGGCTCCCTGCAATGCAGCTTACAGGATTCTTCAGGAATTAGAAGAGTTTTAGGGAGAGGAGATATTTTTGTTTTTGCAAGGGATGAAGGGTCCTGTAAAATTAGGTACCTGTTTTGTAGAGAACTTGATGAAATCCATTGTAAAAAACAGTTTGAATGTGCCACAGTTTCCAGCTAAAGGCATTGTAAATTTCTGGCTGTTAAGGAATTAGGAAATGAAAGCAAGTATAAAAATTAAAAAGTTCAGTATTTTGACCTTTTAATAGAAGAAATAAAATTATCTAACCCACCACAGAATTTTCTTGCAATGATGATCATTGTGGCATATAATGTCCATCAGCTCTTACATATTTTTGACATGGTCAAGGATAGAGTTAGAGGCTTAAAAATTTATTTGGAGACCTATTCTTCTTCCTCATTGGAAATCAACGAGTATCAGTGTAGAGAGTTCTGAAATTTCTAAAATTAAGCACATTTAAATGACCTGATCTTACTTGAAACAGGGACCAACAGATGAAAGCACCATGAATTCAGGTATTAAAGCCTACAAGAAATGGCTGTAATAGTACTTGTCACTTTCAAAAAAAATGTATGAAATTAATCTGAAAACTTTGATTTTTTTTATGTTGATAGAAATGTGGCAAACTAACCAAAATGTTTATATTTAAACTGTCCAGCCTGACAGCTGAAGGTGATTTTGTTTATTGCTCTTTCAGTTGTCTCTGTGCAGAGTAAGGTTGTACGTGGATGATGACTGTTGTCCCTAATTTTGTGCTGTTTGTGGTCATGGCTTCCAAACTGTAGGTCATAGGGACACTTTAGGAGAAGCATGTCAGATTTGGAGCCTTCAGAATGCATGTCCTGGAAAATCAATGGTATGAAATACAACTGTATGTTGGAGACTTGCAGTAGAGTGAGTAAAGATCTATTTCAAATGTTCAAGGAGCAATCTGTCTGTAGAATTAAACTATTCCCAATACATATTTAAGAAAAGATTTCAATCTTCAGGTCTCTTATGCCAGGGTACAGGAGACTGAGGAGAGGTTGATGATACTCATATATATATATATGAACCAGACAGGTCATTACAGACTGTCAGCCCTCTCAGCTGCAGGAATCCTAGCACAATTTATTTGCATTTTGAGCATGAGGAAAAAGGATTTGAAAATAGAAGAAAAATTGATGTCTAAAGTGTGAAGGTGAAAATGAAATCCCTAGACTATCTATTTGAACTTACCCCAAATCCTCAGAGCCATGCTATCAATAGTTCATGTCTGAGATGGTAGGGGCAAGGGAGAATTCCTCTAAATTGTTTCATCGCATTTGGCTAAGCATTTCAGCTTAAATCCTTCAGTGTATGAATGTATCCTAATTGTCTGATGTTTAAAATATTTAATGGGCACTAGACTGCTGTTTGCTAAAGACATTCCATGCCTCTTCCAGATGCTCAATATTTTTCTGGCTTTAAACTAACCTCTTCCACAGGAAAACTTCCCATTATTTGCAGTTAGACAATATTTGTGAAATCTGTCAGTTTTGTTAAAATTCATCATTTATCAATGAACAAACTTCCACGTAAGTAAGATTAAGAGCTTTTATCAAAACATAAAAGTGCTCCAAATAATGTTTTTATAAGAAGAAAGCCAGTGCAGTTTCATATAGTGAAATTATCAGAAAGCCCATTGTGTATAGTGTCTTGAACAAGGCACCCTAAATGATCCTAAGGGATAAAAATTCTACCATAGATCCAGACCACATACAACTGAAAGTTGAAAGCCAGATTCTTTGCCTCTCTCTATCCCCTTTGCAGAGGCAGCGTAAAAGGACCAGAAACTGGCTCTATCTTCCCTGCTGAAGATTCCTTTGGTACTCGGGAATTGTCAACAGATGTAGAGTAACACAGCTGGCTTCTCTATTTCCAGCCATCCCTTATCCTCACACCTTCTGTAGTCTTTTGATTGAGAGGAGAGGAATATGTTGAAGCCAGAGAGGAATGGAAAGGAGGATCAGCTGGAGCATGCTAAACTCTAGGACCCTCCGCCAGTTGATCACAGCACAGAATCAGGAAGCCATAAGCAGCTCTCCAGCACCATTAGTAGCTACTGCTATGCTGAGTAAAACACTGATGCATCAGAAAAAAGGGGTCTAAGAGAGTGAGGCTGTTACAGCTAGCTCCACACTTAAAATTTATTCCAAAAGTTTAGCTCATGCATATTTAAGACATTATCACATTTGTGATAATAGGTCTTCAGAATGGGACATGGCTGCAAAAACAATGGCTCCTTTACCAAAAAGTTTTAGTCATAACTGTCATCTGCAAATGAGAGATTTTGTGACTTGAAGTTAAACTGAGTCAAATCCTGTCTTGAATACACAGGCTACGTCTACACTGCACATCAATTTTGAAATAAGCTATTCCGGAATAGTTATTCTGAGGGGCCATGTCTACACTGGCATGATTTTGCGCAATAACTCTTTTGCGCAAGAGTTCTTATGCAAAAAGTCTTCCAGAAGAGAGCGTCTACACTGGCATGTGCCTCTGCGCAAGAGATGTGCTTTTGTGCAAGAGCATCCATGCCAGTGTAGATGCTCTCTTGCGCAAGAAAGCTCTGCTGGCCATTTTAAACCATAGAGCTTTCTTGCACAAGAAATTCATGTTGCCTGTCTACACTGGCTTCTTGCGCAAGAACAGTTGCACAAAAGGACTTATTCTTGCTCAAGAAGCACTGATTTCGTACATTAGAACGTCAGTGTTCTTGCGCAAGAACTCTCTGCCAGTGTAGATAGGCAGCAAGTTTTGGTGCAAAAGCGGCTGCTTTTGCGCAAGATCGCACCAATATAGACACAATGTAGACAAATAGTTTATTTTGAAATAGCACATCTACACTACAGAGCAACCTCAAAATTAGTCTGAGGCAGGTTTCCCTAATGTAGACGTGCTATCTCAATTTAGAGCCCCAGGAGGCACTGGGGAGGAATAACTTAGAATGGCCCTCAGAGGGGCTATTTTGAAATAAGGCATGCGTAGATCTCCCCTGCTGCTATTTTGGAATAGGATTTATTCTTTTAGAATGAGGTTTACAGATTTTGGAATAAGCCGCTGGTTATTTCAAAATTATTTCAAAATAACAATGGCTATGTAGACTCTCGCATAGTTATTTCAGAATAACAGCTATTATTCCAAAATAATTTTGCTGTGTAGACCTACCCTTAAAAAGCTTCCTTGGGATCTCAGTAGCATTTCATGGTGATTTTATGTGTAGAAATTCTAAACGTCTTCCACAGCCATATCCCTTCCACACACAACTCTCTCTCCCCTCCTCCTCCCCCCAAAATTGCACAGCTCGAAGGGCAGAATTAAAAATAAATTCTGCTTTCTTTATTGCAACCGGAGAACCTGCTGAATTGTTCAGTATCAGCATGCAACTCTCCAAAATGGCAGATCTGGGTTCTTCGAGAACTCCTACTAAGCATGTAATTAAAAAATCACTTCAAATGTTGCATTTCTTCATAACTTATACAAAACTCTTACAAGCATTATTTAGAGTTAGTCCTACATATAATGAAAGTTGATGGACTTATGCCAGTTTATGCCAACTGATTATCTGATCCCATATTCTGTTTCTAAAAACACAGGGTTTTTTGTGAGGATTCTATTTACATGATCATGAAAATAAAATCCTTATAAGAATTTTTCAATTCTTGCTGTTCGTTCTTCATGTTAAGGTTATTAGATCTATTTGTGACATCCAAAGGTAATTGCTGCAGAAATTATGATGTAACAAAGGATATGACCTTAACTAAAAAAAGTGGAATAAACAACATCTAAAACTGATAAATCAAGCTCTTATTTTCATGCAAATATCCCAAGTCATAAAATAACAAGGGAGGGGCGAGAGATGAATAAAGTCATGTCCGCACAGCTATTTCTAAACAGAATGATTTTCAAATGTTTCAAGGAGGCATCAGCAGCTCTTTAGTCTCTCAGAGTGATTGACATGTCAGAGAAGTAATCTTGCTGCAAAAGTCCTGATGTTGTGACAAGATTTCACTTCTTATTAATAGTGATCTGATTTGAGAAATGTAAGGTTGTTTTTAAGACAATGCTTTCAGCAATCCCATTCTGATACAATGAGTAAGGCTGTTTAACAGTATAACATAACACATATTTCTATATCTGAATAAGATCAGTTTATAGACAAAATGCTCCTTAAATATCTAAATAAATGTTTAGTCTTCAGAACAGTTCATCATAATACAGATATCTCAGTTTAAAAGAAAAT